TCCTGAGGTACGAAACTTCCTAGATCGACAGCCCAGTCAAACAAAGTCAAGCTACCAGCTACTTCGTGAGGTCCTGATTAAAGAGTTTACAGACCCTGAGTCTGAACATGGACTGTTAACTGCCTTGGAGATCAAACAAGGTCGACAAGAGACTCCACAAGCCTACTACAACCGACTCCGACAAGCCTACTTTTGTGCACACAACAAACCTAACCTTGAAGAGGATGTGAACTTCAAAAGCTTCTTCCTAAGAAATCTGCACCCTGGAGTCAGCCACCATCTTGGCGTCATGGCCTGTCCGCGCTCCATGACCATCCAACAGTTGCGTGACCTAACACAGAAGGCCTACAACAAGCAGAAGATGGCCTCAAAGAAAGGTAACAAAACATCCACACTCTTGAACTCCATCACCAAGGACTCAAGCCTTACACTGGACGACACCCAGTGGCATCATGACAGCAGAGTCCTCCATCAAGAGCACAGAGAACGTGACCCCCATGTCCACAACAGCTATCAGCTCTACCGCTGGAAAAATCCATGGGACCAGCCATGCTTCTCGAGAAACCCAAAAATCTAACCAGACATCCAAAGGTAATCTCCTGACTCATCCAAGAGCAACTCGTGTGGGTAAGCGACAACAAAACCCACCTCAGCACCACTCAGACATGCACAGTGCTGAGTATGCACAAGAACAAGACAGCTTACCATCAGAAGACATGGAACAAGTCATGAGACAAATTAAAGAGTTCCTTCCAGACAAGCTGAACACGGATGACCACAAAGTTGAGTTATGCTCACTGTGACCAGCGACAGAACGGAAGGCCGGTGATCACCTGGTACACCACCACATCAGAGATGACAAGCACCTGTTCAACAACCACCCCGAACGAGCAAGTCTCTCATGGCCAACCGTTGATAAACTCTGAGGTACCAAAGAACATCACCTCAGTCACCCATCACTCACTAACAAACTGTCAAATGAACTCCAACTCCAAGAACCACATTCCTGTCTGTGCAACAGCAACCACCAAAGCACAGAAGGTCAGAAAGTCTACCACAACCAGAATGCATCACAAGAGGAATGCAACATAGGAGACAAAGTTTGCACTCCAGCTTCACACAGCTATGCCGAACTGATAACACATTCAACATGCATATTCTTCCCACAAGTACAACATCCTAATTTTAGCATAACATACAGTTACATGCACCCACCATGAAGAAACACGCAGCCATCCTCACAATAGGTAGAACACCTGACACTAAGTTAAGGTACATGACACACTAGCTGCACATGACATCCTAGCTCAACAGTAGTTGTAAGCCATGCTAGGAAAATCCACAGCAGAGCAGCTTTGTTTTGTTTTGTTCTTCTTTTACCTATCCTTTTCCTTCCCCTCTTTCTTTAGCAGGTGAAACTCCTAGCCACCCTACAAGGGTCTAGAAAGGTCTGATATTAGGATTGACTCACCACACCTAATATCCACCAGCCACTCTAAACTGAATGGAAGCTAGAGAGCTCCATGCACGATAGCTCAATTCATTTCATTGCAAATTATGTTACTAGAAAATTAACGGTAAACGTTTTAAATTAAGACAACCTAGAAGAACCAAACAAAGTTAACCACAAAATTTGATTGACGAATCAACATACTGGAACAAATAAAGCACATAACAGGTTTTTGTCCCCCCACTAATTGTTTGTTCTGTCTGCAGTGCAGAAGGGTATAAAACCATCCACCATTTGTGTACCACTCCTGTAAGTCAAGTCGTGCCTGTTGAGTTACAACTTGCTTCTAGAATCTGCCACACTCAAAACCTGATCACTGCAACAGCACAGTTTAACCAGCAGAGGACAGCACTTGAACATATATCTCATCCTGACATGCAAAGGTATAATCTACAGCCGTGTTTCTTTTAGAATGCTTCTCATTAAAACTCATTCATTATGAATTCAGGTCACCATTTAGGTTCTAACTCTTCCTCTTAAAGCACTGTACCTGTTCGAGTCACTCTAAAGATATATTTCCAGGCCAAATAATGACATTTCAAGATCCAATGACGTACCATTAATGTTTTATTACTCATTGTAGACTGGTGTGTGAAGATCTTTCTGTTGATTCTACTGGGATTTCAGCACAGACAGACTGTGTTTCCCACATGCCTAAACAGAAGTCAGATGCTCTGGAGGACTGGCAGAGAATAGCAGAGTATTACGTGGAGAGACCAAGGATTATGATGTGTGGACGTGCTGTAAGAAAGCTCTATTATTTTATGACTCGCCATCAGTGGCTTTCATCAAAGTGACTAATGCATGACATTGACAACTAGATGTGTTGAAATAAAACCAAGGCTCTGGTTTTAAGGAAGTATATGCAAAACGATTGAATTAAAACTGATTTTTTAAGTTTGTAACATTTCTTGTATAGATTATATGTAAAACTATAATACATTTTTAAACACTTGTTTATGTTCATTCATACTACTATCATAGTAGTGATAATACTAGAACAATTTTGTTCCGGCATGACCGGCAGCCATATCACCCTGTAGCCCAAGACTGGTTGCCCACTGAAGCTAAGCAGGGTTGAGCTGGTCAGTACCTGGATGGGAGACCTTCTGGGAAAACAAGGTTACTGTTGGAAGAGGTGTTAGTGAGGCCAGCAGGGGGTGCTCACCCTGTGGTCTGTGTGGGTCCTAGCGCCCCAGTGTAGTGACGGGGACACTATACTGACAAAAAGCACCGTCTTTCGGATGAGACGTTAAACCGAGGTCCTGACTCTCTGTGGTCATTAAAAATCCCAGGATGTCTTTCGAAAAATAGTAGGGGTGTAACCCCGGCATCCTGGCCAAATAGGCCTCTGACCATCATGGCCTCCTAACCATCCCCATGTCTGCTGATTGGCTTCATCACTCTGTCTCCTCTCCACCAATAAGCTGGTGTGTGGTGGGCGTTCTGGCGCAATATGGCTGCCGTCGCATCATCCAGGTGGATGCTGCACACTGGTGGTAGTTGAGGAGATTTCCCCTTCTATGTAAAGCACTTTGAGTGCCCAGAAAAGCGCTATATAAATGTAAGGAATTATTACTAATCACTTTTCAGGGCTCGCAAAATCGCTAGCCCGACATCCCGGGGCTTATTGTGTTTTCCAGTCGGGCTACCAAACTGTATCACCACTCTGCCCGACGGGCTATCTTAAATGCAGATCTAATTTGTTGTATCAAGTTGTATCAAACTTAAGGCCATAAAAAGTTTTAAATATGTTAAATGGTATAAGAAATGTCTTAATTATAATTTCAAGTGGTCTTACAGTTGGGGACGGAAAGACAAGAGTCGCGATACGGCTGGATTAAACTTCAAAAGGCAATGATGTCATTGAATAAATATAAGCGCTGCACGTTTCAAGTCAAAACGCGGCGCGGATGTCTTTATTTGAATGTATCTGAAAGGAACCGACTGTCCTCAGAAACGTGTCCGTGGCATTTTAATTTCATTTTACCTATAATTCCTGATAAAGCAGCGTTTATGAGCGCGGAGCTGCTTTGTGTACA